AAGGTTACAACAAAATACTCTTTAAGAAAAGAATGAAAAGAGAATGAACTAAATAAGTTTACTACAAATGACACACTGATGACATTTGTGCCCATCGTGAATGAATTCAACTTTCTGGCTGGAACTGAAATTCATGCCAACAAATATTTTTATTGTAAAATGAAAATGTATGAAAATGTGCAGGTGTACGAGTGCCTTCTACTACAGACGGCCATCAGAACGCACCTCATACCTTTCCTCTCAGTGACGAGGGTCTGCCGCCGGGCCTTCATGTCCAGGCTCAGGTTCTCCACCATGCGGTCGATGCAGTTATCCAAAGCCAGACAGCGGGTTTGGGACTGGATGGCCTGGCGACAGATGGGACACTCGTCTTTTTTATTGCGCCACTGCTTGATGCAGTAAGAGCAGAAACTGTGGGCACAGTTCAGGATGACGGCCTGGAACAGGAGTGGGAGGAGATGTTAATACATTTTAAAAAACTATTCTATACAGGATTTTATTTTATTTTTTTAGCCAGTTTCGTGTTTGCTTTGAGTTGTGCTATTTGGACTGTTAATTATTAGATCTGATTTGAGGCGCCCCCTAGTGGTTTCATAAAACATTAGCAAGAGTAGTGATATAAACCAACCTCGATGAAGAGCTCTGAGCAGATGATGCATTGAAGCTCGTTCTCTAGGACTTCAGTAACTTGAGTGACTACCTCTTCTTTCTGTGCTCTCGCCTTTTCTTTCTCCTCCTGCACAAACAGAAAGATTTAGAAGTTGAAAGTAATGAAGAAAAGAAATAAAACATTATAAATGAAAGCTTAAATATACCTTGGTTACTTCGAGCTCTTTGTTTTTAGCCAATATAATTTCCTCAAAGCCTTTTCGAGAGAGGGCGAGTTCATCTATCACTTTTTTTTGCTGTTGAAAATAAATAAAATCAAACTGACGTTACACAGACACTTAAAACACACAAGATAGGCAAACACTGCTGGAAAAAACCCCTGCTTGTTTCAGTTTGTCGATTTTGTTATGAACAAAATCAGTATAAAAGGGTTCATATAACAGTTATTAAGAAGCTTTTTTGAGCTTCTCACCTCTTGTAAGGCCTCTTCAAGCTGTTTTTTCATTAACTCCTCTTGCTGTTGGGTTTTCTGCTCCTGATTAAGTAGGAATGCAATTTGATCAATAAAATATTTGAGTTTAACAATGAATACAGTTTTGTTGAGAATAAATATGAAACAGAGCAGCACTGTGAAGTGTGAATACTTTTTCAAAGTTCTGCAAGTGACTGTTGTATAGGAGTTTTGTCTTTTAAATGCATAAAAGCTTAATATTTTGAATTTATACCATGTTGTAGGAACAAAACAAAACAAAAAACAACAAAACAGTGCACCTCTAACTGCCTCTTTGTTTCGCTGAAGGATTTCTCTAACGTCTCCATGCGGTGCATCTTGGCTCTGAGCGCCTCCAGCTGACCCTGCAGCTCCCGGACCTGCTCCCCCCGGAGAGGGTCCGCCTGCCTGGGCTCGCCTTCCAGAGACTCGACCTGCCTCTGCGTGTCGCTAACCTGCTCCCTCAAGAGCAGGATATTCTGGCTGTACCTGCAGAGACAAAAAGATAACATGTCTTTTCATCTTCTACCTTTTAATTTTAACAGGAAAACCCGTTTGTAAAGAAATTACACATAAATAGAAAGCAAATGTTTAACACAGTGTGTTCTTTAACACTTAAACCCCACCAAGAAAAAAATATACAAGGAGAAACTCCAAACTGTCTAAACTGGCGAAACAACTGTCTATCTAGCAAAGTTATAATAGTTCACTAAAACTAACAAAATAACGAAACCTGAAATTGAGAAAACATTTTCGTTAACTGAAATGAATAAGAACGGTACTTAATGGCTAAAAACTATAACTAACTGGAACTATATTGTGCAATTATAAAACGAAAACATACTGAAATCATAAATTTAATATTAATATTTTGTGTTTATGAATCAAATTATTAGCCTTTCAAACAAATGTGAAATGATTAACCAAACGTAACCAAGACGACCAACTGGAGAAGGTTTTCGCCTTACATTTGCAGGTTGTCGAGGTCCCAGGCAGAACTGGATCCATCGGGAGGAGGCAGCTCTCCTTCATGCTCCTGTATGCTGGTTACCGTCTCCTCTGGCTGTGTGTGACTGAGCTGCCGCCTCGCCTTCACAGGAGACAGAGGACAGGGCTTCGCGAACGATTTGTCTGCAGAAGAGCAGCGGTAGAGCTTGTGCTTGGAGGTAGAAGGCTCGACCTCTTCTACGCCCAACTTCCTCTTGAACTTTCTGGGTGTGTGGGCCGCTTTGGTATCCTCTCTTTGTTCCTTTACCAGGTAGGGCTTAATGTCTTTGAGGGGCCGCTGGATGAGGATGTAGTCAAATTCTACTTTGGTCCCTAGTAAAGGAACTCCAAGCTGGATGGAGTCTCCGAGTCGGAGCAGATGGGGTTGCTCAGCAGGTATCCGCTCTCCATTTACCCACACACCATTGAGACTCTGGGAAGGAAAGTAACACAGTGTTTAAAAGCTGCTGTAGTACGTGAAGCGCAAAAATAATAGGAAACAGTAGAGTTAAAGAACATAGTTTACGTTGTTACAAGCAGTAGCATTGCTCATTTCTGTTAGTCTCTCTCTGTATCACCTGATTTGTATTTTAGAGTTGTGTCTAACAAGCTATTAAGTTAGGGATGGAAGTTCGAGATTCAAGAAAGGTGAAAACTGTACACATCTTTTGTCTTCTCGGGATGACACCTTATACTGACTTTTATTTACTGAAAAGAAAGTTTAGCTCTTCTATTAGGATTTTTCACCTCATTACTCATTTGCGTCCTTTAGCTAAAGCTATAGTTTCGCACAGATGTTATAAAGGATAAATAGAATTTGAGTGTAATATAAGAAGAGAACAGGAAAAACAGATATAACTGCATTAATATCACAGCACAGTGACAACAGTCAAAAGGAATAGAAGGAAATCTATGCATTTAGAACAATATAATTACATGAGAACCAGTTACTAATTCAGGTTAAACAGTGGGCAGGGATGTAAGGGTCAAAAGGCACACACGAGTCAGTACTAGAAATTTTCAAAACAGACTATATAATAATATATAATACAAAACAGTGAGAAGAAAATAATGGACTCGGGACTGAACCTTGTGGAACTCCAAAGGTTATATAGGGGAATTGGTAGAGAACTGGCTAGCACCAACACTCTAATACAATTTAATATAAAACATAAATGCACGTATAGATTCATAAAGAAATTAGTTTTATGAAGCATCCGTTAGACTTTAACTACATATGTGTGAGGAGAAAAGAGACAACTAATGACGTATTGAGTATTTAGCTCAAAAGAAAACTGGTCACCTTCTTATCTGTCACTGTCCACTGGCCGTCTTCCTTTTGCCTGAAGGAACAGTGCAGTCTGGAGATCATGAGAGGGCAGGTTGAAGATAACAGCTGGTGGGTTACCTCTACGCCCCGTCCAACAGTGATCTGCACAGTCAAAAATAAACATGAAACTTGGTCTTCCTCTGCAGCGCTTTACTTTGATATAAAAAATTTGAATTACGTCATACTGAATGCCAAACACACCAATAACACACGATAGATAAATATATAGACGAATTTAAAGAGGCGACTAGGACGCTTATGTATAAACTTTAAAACTTCACAGTCATTAAGTTTTGCTTGTTAGCTAACATTAGCCAACTGCACCTCTGCGTTTTCGAACAAACGGAGCCAGTCCGAGTTTTTCCCGACTCTCATCAGACATAAAACCTCCGAGTCTGAGCAGTCATCCTCCTCAGCCGAGCAGCAGTCCGTTGCTACGCTGTCCATGTTACCTCATTTCGGTAGGAGGCCACTTCGACCTAAAACACCCTACCTACGTTACGATTCTCTGCCATATCGCTGCAGCAACTGCCTACTGTGCTAGCGTTGAAGCTCTGCAACGCTACCAGAGAAGCCGGAAACAGTTAGTTTATTTTCAAAATAAAAGCGCTACACATAAACTATTTTCAACTATTATTATTATTATTATTATTATTATTATTATTATTATTATTATTATTATTATTATTATTGCTAATTGTATTGTCATTATTTATTTATTGATTATTCAAACAAAGGCATTTTATTGTAAATAAATAATAGACAATGAAACAATGTATAATTCATCCTCATAATTTAAACACATTTTTCTTTACGTATAAATTAAATATCACTGATTGATCTATTCATTTATGTATTTTCCATTTGAAAACAATTGAGTTATTTCAAATAAATAAATAAAAGACTGTTTTTGTTTGTTTTACTCATTTGAAATTCTATTATTATCTTTTTAACTTTTTAAATGTATTTTAGATTAAAAAACCCCAAAACAAATGTAAAAAACGAAAACAAATAAAAACAATCAATAAAGTGGGTTTATTAAAATCAACTCCACATTTATTTATCTAAGATCAATTAATAACTTTATTTCCGATAATAGATCCTATAAATTGTGTAAACTCAATTAAATTGCTTTTTCAAATATCATCATCTTTCTAAATTAATAGTCTTTTTAAAAAGTTATTTTAGCAAAAATAAATAAATAAATAAATAAATAAATAAATAAATAAATAAATAAATCCACCTCATCTTTTTTCTAATTTCTTTCCCCCAAAGATGATTTTGGGGGGAAACTCTTTTGGAAAAAACAAAAATGGACTTGTCATTAATTTAGGAAGGCGATGATATGCAAAATTTGCAGTCTCAAAAAGAAAGCCAGAACAAAAGCAGTCAGAACACCAGGCACTGCAGGCTTCACAGAACATAGAGTTCGTTATTCAAAAATAAAAAAATAAAATACTGCTAACATATATTCTTCAAATGTTTTTGAATGTAACAACCTTTTTATGTGTCCAGGTAGCAATTTACTACAGCAATAGCTAAATTTGACTGGAACGTCAACCATATTGTGTCATTATGTAACCGACGTCCACTCGGGCGACCCCGCATCCCGAAACAGGCGCACCCCGAGTTCCAGGCGGGACTTCCTCTCTCCTGCGGATGCGACATCAGGGCTGAAGCAAGCAGAAAGGGCTTGGTCCGGGTGTCACCGGGTCCTGATCCGTGCGTCTCTCTCCGGACGGCAGATATCCCAGCCGAACTGGACGCCGCCGTCGCCGCAGCTGGAAGCCCCCCGTAGAGGAGCCTCCTCCTCGGCTATGCTGCCCTGAGAGCGCCGCGACCACCCGCCCCGCCAAAATGTCTGATGTCAACAAGACTGTTCAGAAATGGCACGCCAGTTTTAAGAAAGGCACAGACTTTGACTCGTGGGGGCAATTAGTGGAGGCGATAGATGAGTACCAAATGTAAGTTCAGCATGTGTGTCCTGTCTGTCCCCAATGGTTTATCCAGAAAGCAGCGCTGCTTCCTTTTATTTTGTTCAAAAATGTTTACAGCTGTATGTCCAGAAACCTGCAGGGCAGATAACGGGTTCATAAGAAGTTAGGCTGGGAGCTGTCAGTGCTCTCTCACAGCAGTAAATAAACCCTTCCCATCCATGACGTGATGTGGCATTTGTTGCAGAGGGAATGGGGTTGTGCGTGCGTGCGTGTGTGTTGGTGTGTGTTGCATCCCTGCTTCATCCACAGCAGCAGCAGCAGCAGCACCAGCTGTTTGATGGAGAGTTCTGGTCATGGAAAACCATACAGAGCTGCGTGTTGTGCAGGGCAGAAAGAGAGGGAGAAAAGAGCCAATATTCCTCAGAGTATTGAGAAATAGTCAGCCACACCCTCTCATTGTTATGGGTGGGTTTCATATGAGAGGAAAAGCTTTGTCCTTCTCGGAGAAAATCCCGCTCACTGCAAGTTATTTCGGGCTGTAACCCTTGTCAAAAATATTCATTTGCAACAAATGTTTTCGATAATAAAAATAAACATCAAGACCACCTGATAATTCATTTTCTTTATCACCAGGGGGCGCCAGAGTCCCTGCTCTGTCTTGAAAAGTATCATTTTCTGAATAAACATGAAGAAAATCACAGATTTTATTACATTTTTTAAAATAAAAATTTAAAATGCATATTTCTAAAAACAATCAGGTGTATATTTTGTGAGCTAAATTCATACTCAATAACAAGGCTTTAACACATTTTTCACCACAAACTCATACATTTTGAGACTTCTTCCTGTCTAATTAAAGTCTGGTTACTTGAGTGCAAAGGTGCACTCAAGTAACCAGAGACAAAGCTGATTATTTGTGGATTTTGGCATCTTTTCATGTTTGTAAAAATTACAGCTTCAGGGGTTTAAATGGTATTTTAGATGTAGTTTAGTCCTGAATTGAAAGTTGCTTTGAGACCAAAAAGTTACAGCCTTTTTTTTTTAATTATTGGATTAGTAGGAATTCAGTTAGTTAGCAAAATTCAAAATAATGTTATACTCAGATCACCATAACTCTTTTGAAAAAAAAATAGTCTAGGGTCTTTAAAGTTATGAGTTGATGTCTGATAATTTAAAGTGTTTGGTTACATCATCTGTTTGTGTCACTTCATCCAGTCTCGCCAGACAACTGCAAAAGGAGGTCCAGTCTACAAATTCTTCAGACTTCACAGAGGAGCAGAAGGTAAGCCTTTCATTTTTACTTCCTGCTGCTTCTCCAGGTCAAACTCACCTGCTGCAGTCCAACTGACAACTGTTTGTGTTTCTTTTTTTTATTATTATTATTTCATTTATAGAAAAACTTAGGAAAGATTGCAACATGCCTGGAGATGAGAAGCGCCAGTTTGCAGGTCTGTATTCCTACTGCTGCTAAAATAATGTGCAGCTAATTTGATACAAAAAAAAAAAAAAAAAAAAAAAATTAATTTAAAAAATAATTATAAAATTAAAAAAAATATATAAATTTT